GCTGTATTTCCCCCCCAAAGCCCTTGCGTTGGGGTGACTCTCGGCAATGACAGCTCAGGGGATGCCCGTGTCCGCCTCTGCAGCCCCTCTGTGCTGAGAGCCCGGTACCGGCCGGGCCACACGTCGGGCTCGGGGAGCCGGAGGGCCCCGGGAGGCTGCCCTGGCGTGTGTGTGCTCGGAAACGCAGCAGAACTGCTCGCAGCTTGTGATTTTCATCTCTAAATCCGTTTTCATGTACAGATCAGATTCCTTCCCAGAGACAGTCCTGCTTTGTAATGTGCGTGGAACTGATTTAATTTCTCCTCTCCTTTTTTTTTCCCTGTCTTTATTCATCTTTTGATTTTCTGATCCTGCTTGTCTTCCATTCCCTTTGTTTTTATGCTTTAACCACCAAATCTCTTTTCGATATATCCCCTTCCAGTGAGGACAATTTGCTCCCTCTCCACAAGCATACCTCTAATCAGGTGACCAAACCTATCTTTTTTAATGTCTTTGTGAGAGAAACAAGACTTGCGTGAGTGCATAAACCCATACCATCTAAGGTCAGAATTTATTTAGGAAAAGAAATCCAACTATTTCCCCCAAAATAAATGTTACGCAGAAAAACTTCTTAGGAGGGTAAATCCAGAGGTCATACAGGCACAGAGGATGCCACGGGAAGCGAGACTGACCCTCTCATGTCTGAGAGGGTCCCCAGGGTGCTAGGTCTGGGACGTCTGCCCTGTGGCACCACCAGCCTGTGAACTAGATATGCTGCCCATGAATGCCTAGAGCTGATGTGCTTTTGGAAAATACCTGTTGGGAATGACTTGCAGAGCGGGTGCAAGTAGCTACTCGTGTTTCTTTTTGGAGATGTTTTCAACTGGAACAGCAACGCAGTTCAGATCTCATCTAGTCCTGTTCTCAATGTGGCCAAACAGCAGCAAGTTTGTTTTTTTTGGCCCAAGGTTGTGTCCCTCTCTCCCTTCATGCTGTGGCCACCCCCCCTTTTGCAGTTCTCAATTCATTATGTGCCTAATACAGTGGAGCATTAGTCAGGTGAGTAAGTGTAAGCTGGCTCACTAAGTGTATGATAGTGAATGTAAGCACTCGCTGGGCTGAAACGTGCCCCAACAAGCCTTTTCCACAACCCTTCAACAGCAGAGATAGAAGCTCAGGTCTAAAAGCAGTCTTGGTGTCTTGGCCTAAGCGCATATGTGACAGGACCGTGCCTGGAAGACATTTCCATCCAGCAAGTTCCCTCTACAAGGGATGCCCCGTTAGTGTCAGCAGGGTCACTGCCGTCAGAGGGCTGGAGCTGGACCTTGCGCTGAAGCGACACAAACACACCAGTTTACACAGACTGGAGCTGGGGGAGCAGCAGCTGGCGGATACTGTAAATCCAGCTCTGGAGCTCGTGCCACTGGGTCAGAAATTCTATGGGTCCCTGCCTCAGAGCATTGCTAAACTCATTTCCATCAGCAGGTTAATGTTGTCTCAAATTTTATGCAAATTAGGTGCTTTTCTGTCCTCTTGTAGCTAGCCCAGATCTGAGTCATCTGTGTTTTGGTGAATATTGCAAAGCGTCACTGGGTGTTGCTGTGTCATTCTGCTCATGTTCACGAGGCTCAGCGGGGTGGCAGGGTGCAGGCTTGGTGTTAATGAACAGGGAGCCACGGCCTGCGCCCCATTGCCACTCAGAGGTTTCCACGGGAGCCGTCATCCTCTGTCAGGGATGTGCGTGCTTGGAGGCAGGTAGAAATCCCTCCCTCTCATCCTGTCGAGCTTGTCTGGCTTTTCTCCCAAGCAGGCACCTTTGATTTTTTTTTTTTTTTTTTTTTTTTTTTTTTTTTTTTTTTTTTTTTTTTTTTTTGAAGTTGAAAACTCCTGCAGTGAGGTGTATGAGGAGACTCCTGGCCTGCAGCCCTCGGCACTGGCCCAGCACTTGGCTCCGGACTGCCTGCCTCCCGTAGCGTGGTCACAGCTCCCAGTCTGGACCCAAGATGCCGTGTTTGTGGAAGGAAGGCGGTCAAGCAAGAATAACAAAAATTAGACACTCATTGATATTAAAATACAGTTTTCCTTTCTCTTGACTCTTTAGGGGGAGCAGGTCGAGAAAAGGACAAAGCTTCTCCCTCCCATTAACAACCCAGTCTCTCAATCACCTGAGAATGACTGGATGATGTGGCCCTTTGTTAGCAGCGAGAGGCAGACTGGGACAGAGGAGCATAAAACCAAGCGACTCCCTGAAAAGGCAGGAAAGCCAAAAAACAGGTGGGAAGCAGGCCGGTGAGCCAGCCCAAATTTTTAGGGCTTGACGGGTCTGTTCTTTCTTTACCAACCCTCCATCCACGCCTGCGATGCACATCGTGCTATGGCTGTAAGCACTCATCGCAAGGAGCATTCCCTACCCGTGTCCATCAACCAGAATACAGAGTAGCCCCCCCAAAGGGAGGACTTACGAGCAGCACAGCTTGGAGCCAGGGTTGTGCAAAGTCCTGGGGACCCCAGAGAGGTTGTGCATATTGGGCAAAAAGCCTCCAAAGCGTCCTCTCTGCTCAAATTCTCCCCTATTCCCATTAGCCACAGTGTGATTGTTCCTACAAGCTCAGTTAGATGTCCTCTTATTAAAAGCAAACAACATAGACGTAGCTGTGTTCAAACGGTTTCTGCCATTTCCACCACCAGAGGGGAATAGTAAGTCCTGTGTTTCTCAGTGTACAAAAGCCCTATGAAGCCTCAGAACATGAGTAAAACCACTCCCCCCCCGGCCCGGATGCTCTTTATCAGACAGTTTCCCTTCACTTATGAACGTTGACATGAAACAGAAGTTCTTTTTTCCTGAGGTTTCTTTGCTGTCTTCCCCATTCTGATGGGGACAGTTTCCTAAAACTCACCCAGGAGGAAAAGTCTCTGCAAACTCCATCGCTGCCAGAGCCTTCGGTCAGAGTGGGGCACTGAAGTGGTACCTGGAGTCCATGTGAGCTGAAGGCTCTCGCACCTTCGCTGCATGTTGCGGCACCTACTTTCTTCTACATCCCTCATCTGAAGCCAATCCCATGTATTTCACGACTATTAATGCATATCAGAACAGAACTAATGAGGATTATGTGCCAAGTGGATGACTGTAATTACACTTGTGCGGGTCCTAAGTAGGCAAGTTTGCAAGCGCTGCTAATACATCCCCCTAAGCAAGCTTTTCCAAGTTAGCACATAGTTTTCAGGCAGGTCATTGTGCCCAATCTGTGCCATCTGGACTTTTTAAGCTCTAGAAAGTCCCCCTAAGAGCAGATCACCTGAGAGGCAAGTGTCTAATTACAGGGAAGCTTGGGACTGGGGAAAAGGGTACTCAGCTATCAAAACTGTCAGGGGTTGAGAGAGGGATCCCCACATTGCCTGGCCCTTACCCCCTCTTGTCCACCCTCTCCTTTTCTCCAAGACTGGCTCTTGCACATGCATTCGTGAGCAATTAGCAAGTGTTAGAGCGTGAGGCTCCCTGACTGGCACCTGCTCTACATCTGAATGGTGGAGTCGGTGAAGCCCAGGGCTGTGGAATGGGATCTGCAAGTGGATGTTGTCTGGGACCAACGGAAGAAAAAGATTTGCCTGCTTTTGTCTAGCAATATTTAGATGGGCGACTTGGCTGAGGTGGAAAGAAAAAGAGACAAAGAAGAGACCGACAGTGAGAGGCTGTAGCTTTTTTAACTGGATGTCAGTTGTCTAGGGATTGAATCCAGCCGAGAGTGGAGGCTGGGGAGGGGAATACAGCATTGACATGAGCTAGTGGCATAAAGGTGAAAATTCTCTGTGTTTCATCTCCTTTAGATGGTCTACTGAGAACCAGCCTGTATTAGGCTGTGAAAGCACATCTTCTGGGCAGCAAAGAAAGAATCAAAGAGAATGTATTATCGACCGTGTCTCTTCCCAGGCTGCAAGGTCAGGAAAAGCCACAGAATCACAGGGTGAAAGAACCCCAGACCCTTAGACTCCTCTGTGACAAAATAAAAATGCCTCCACAGCACAGCTTAGTCACGGAGGAGGAGGAGGAGCAGCCATGGCTGTCTCTGTTGGGAACAACATCTTGCGAAAAATTCCTATTCTAACCCCAGTTGTGTCCCCCATGCAAACTCTGGGGCTAAGACGGGCCTGAGAACACCTTCTCTTGACCCTACTCACGACGAAGTTGCTGTACTGTAGTTGTAAACAGCCTAATAATAGCGTCTAAGTGCCTGCAGATGCAAAGTAACCTTGCGGAGTGTTGCGTGGCTTTGGGGCAGAGATGCAGGTGGTGACTGATCCGTCAGGGCCCTCTGACATGGGAACACCTCAGCTTGCCCCTCTCCACTCACTGCGCCTGCCAGACGTCCCCACCTCTGCAGCAGAAATGGCTGAGCTGGGAGTAGTTCACCTCTCCTCAGCCGCTGCCGCTCGCAGACGGCACGTTGACACAAACCGCTGGCAGTTTCGGTTTCTATCAGTACCCACCTGCTCTGAGAACCCATGTGCTGGCCCCAGCTGGAGGTCTGGTCTCTGACCTGGCCACCAGCTGCACCCAGCGCGGGGACCAGGCAGCAGCGTTGCCCTGCAGCCAGTGCTGGCTACGGAGCAGCACGTTCGAGGAAGGCCAGCCCCTGTCGCGCTCCTCTCCTGTGATTTGAACCCCAGGGTATAGGTGTACGCTGGGTGTGGGAGTCAACGCCTGTCCCCTGCGTGTGTCGCTCGTGGACTGACATTCCAGTGGCTGGAGAGAGCGGCCCGGAGCGCCCGAAGGTAACATCCCCTTCCCAGCTTTAAAACCTCCCCTGTGGTGAAACACATGAACATCTGGTTTCTACCTCCTGAAGCTCAGGCCAAAAGAGAGGGAATTAGCCCGGTGGGCCAGGCGCTGCGTTCTCTTCCTTCTGTGTAACCAGGAGAATTCCTCCGCAGGGATGGATCCTGGTCCCACAGCAGTCAAAGACAGTTTCGCATCGGCTTGCGTGGCACCGAGGTTTGAAATTTTTCTGTGCTTGTAAGAGTGTACCTGAGCGCATAATCTGACCCTTTATTTAAATATGGCAATACATGCATTCCTGGACAAAGAAATACAGCCAGACGCAGTGAGGAAAAGGTGGGCCACGTGAGGTAGAGGGGAGGAAAGAGAAAAAGAGAACAGAAAACCAGTCTATTCCGTCTAGGTTCCTAGATTGCCTTCGTCGTTACGGTGTCTGAGCATTTTCCGGTGGAGTATTCAGTGCCCTGACTCAAATCTGCCACATGTGGTTCTTTGTCTCTCTCTCATTCTCTCCGCAGGGACAGAGCTACGTGGTGTGGAGGATTTTGCTTCGGGTTAGCTGGCTCCGTCTGGGGCTTGTCCATAACGCGCTGGCGGCTGTTGGCATTTGAGGCGTGCGTTGGAGAAGTGCACCTTCTGCTTGGAAAGCGAAGCCGTGAGGTCGGGGCATGTCGTAGCACAGCCTTACTACGACCCCAGAGACAACTCTGCCTCCTGCTTAGACTAGATTTTCATAGGGTTAGAGAGCTCCCTGGTACCAGTAAAGTGCAACTGCTGACACCAGTAGATGCCAGCCCTTGACTTCAGAGCCTTAAAGGAATCTCTGTATGCTGGTCTGAGGGCACTAGGCACATGGAGCAGACCATGAGCTGGGCAGTTTGGTAAGCAGGGGACAGCCTTAGTTAGAAAACATGGGTCAGATAGATACAAAGAAACCCAGGTCAACAGGGGTGAGGGAAGCACTCCCCAGGCCTGTCCTTGTGCTGTAGTCAATCCACTTGGGAGGCTGCCGACACTGCTAACTGATGCTGGGGGGGGAGGAGAGTTTCTCTTTGTTTGTCAGCAGAATGATAACTGCCCAGCTGGTCTGATCCAGTATTTTAAGAAGTGGTGCACTTAGGATACAGTAAATGCCCAGGCTAACTGAGGGATCTCCACCATCCCACTGTGCTGAGTCCATCACAAACCCGTGTTCATCAGCAGACTTGGCTTCAGGCAGATTTCCATACCATGGAAAGACCTGACCTTACCACAGTGACCGCTGTTCTAGGGTACATCTCCAAGCCAGCACTTTACTCTGTGGCTTGGTTATGCAAAATGATGAAGTTTGGACAATTTGAAGCTAAGAAGTTGCAAAACCCAGCTGAGATGTTGGTTAGATACTCTGGCAGCAGCCTGGAGTCCAAACTGCAAGCAAATACAATGCCATAACGTTGGGTAGTTCTGTGGCAAAATGATCCATCCATGGCCTGGCTTGGCATGACCGAAATTATCAGGTTAGGGAAAGGACTGAATATGATACAACATCATCTTCTCAATATAGTCGACAAAAGAAAATTACGGTCCTAATGAATCACTTCCCACGAACAAGTCACTGCCCACCTCCCCACCCCACACTCAGCAGTGCACGTCGCTGTAGGTAACTGCTATTCCTATTATTTTTTTGTTTTCCCCACACGCCAGGAAACTGAGGCACGGGGCTTTGCGGTGGCCCAGCGGTCGTGCCAGGCCTGGAGCCAGCATCAGCAGATTCACTTGTTTCTGACACCTTGCGTTCTTGGGCTGAGAACAGGTGAAGATCTGACCTGAGGACCACACGCCGGCGATGCCTCCTGCCCAGACCGCGGTTTGGTTTTCGGGAAGGAGCACGCAGGCTGTGACGCTGGCGCTTGCTGTGCCCCGGCCATAGGCACGGCGCAGAGCGGAGCAGGAGGCTGTTCGGGCTCGTTGCGTGCCCATTGCGGCAGCTTCTCCTGCAGAGCTTTGCTGGGTGCTGGGATGGATGACCCTGCCAGAACGGCGGTGCGGGAGCTGGCTGCTCCCCACCTCGAAACAGAGCCACAGGGACCCGTGGCACTCCCCTCACCTGCTCCTGCCTTGTGTTGCTGCCGAGGACGAGGAGCACCCTGCCCTTACCTGGGCTGGGGGACTGGGCGCTCGAACCCCTCCAAATCTCTGAGGGAACACCATTTCAGGCCCAGAGGGAGTCAATTCACGTCCATCCAAACAACTGCATCGCGACCCCAGTAAGCAGCTCTCCAGGAGTTCCTGCTTGACACAATGAGCTCCATCTCACACCTGAGAAGAAGCCGTGACCCTGTTCGCAGACCAGCCCGGCGGCTTGGAGCCCACCCAGGCTCGGTGACCGTGGCCCTGATGTGGAGGAGAGACGGTCCCGGGACACAGGGATGGGGAGGGATGGAGAAGGTCCCCAAGGCCAGCGTTTTGCAGACAGGTCTCTTCTGGGAAGCCGGAGCATCCTCCGACCCGGGACGGCAGGTTTCTGGGACAGGTCGCGGAGAGGCTGAACGCGGGGTCCCGGGGTTGGGGGGGGTCCCCTCGGCTCTCCTCTGCTGCACCCGCAGACGGCCACCGAGGGGCAGCAGGCAGCCGCGCCGGCAGCGAGAGGGGCCGTGACAGGGGCGGGGGGG